TGCTATGGTCATATTTTGAATTGGTAATATGCAAGAAGAGGTTGCAAAGAATGTGTTTGACATATTAAACCTGTTTATTTCACTTCATGAGAGTCACAATCAGCGATTTTTCACACACTCACTCACTCAGCGATCAGCAAATCGCTGATTGTGACTCATAGAAAGCAAAATTTACAGGTTTTATTTTACAAACGCATACTTTGTAACCTCTTCTTGTAAGTTATAAGTAAAACATTCCATCATACCATTTGGTTTTATTATTCCGAAAAAAACATAATTTTAGCTGAAAAGAGTCTTTGCAAGCTTGCTTGACGGTATTACCTAGATCATGGACAGTTCGGAAAATTATGGACACATTTAACACAAACAGGTATATGGCAACACAATCTAAACAACTTTTAAACGATAAAGGTGTATACTCCACTATTACGTCGAGGTTATGCAGTGGATTGAGTGATGATACGAAGGAACTTGTTATGCAGTTTTTTGAAGACGATGAAACCAGCAGAGGAATGCCTGGACAGCGTGATTGCGTAACAATAAGAAAAGATGGTAAGCGTCAGTCGGTTCAAAAAAGGTTAACGACGACCACTTTACGGGAGTCCTACAACCGATTCAAAGAATTAAATAGTGAAGTACAAGTTAGGTTTTCAACCTTTGCGAACCTCAGGACTAAGAACTGTAAATTGTTAACTAGTTCAGGGACACATAATGTGTGCGAATGTACTATTCATGAAAATGTTAATTTGATTATTCACAACTTAAAGAAATTTGATTTGTCCATTGATTTGAAGCCTATTACAGATAGTTTGATATGTGAAAGAAAAGCAATAGGTTGCTGCCTACGACGCTGTGAAAACTGCATGGATTCATCTTATTTCGAACAAAAGTTGTTGGAAGAAATCGTGGAAAAAGGCATTAATGAAATACAATTAATGAACAATGAGTCACAACCGACAGATGTGATATAGAAACATTAGTTAAAGAGCCGGATGAATTTGTTTACTATTTAATTGGAAAATTAGATAAATTAATACCTCACGATTTTATAAAACAACATAGTCTATGTTTTTGCAGAATACAAAACAAAATTTACAGGAAGGTGAATATTATTATTTATCTTTATTAGGGAGGCTTTCAGCCGTGGGCTGGTTCGCCTCCAATGGGAAGGTGAATATCAAATATGTGATTTTTCAGAAAACTACACATTTGTATTACAAGACTAAGTTCAAAGTCATCACTGGAATAATCAGCAAGCAACTATTCATCCATTTATCATTTATTTTTTTCAAAAATTATCATCAAGATTGCCCAAGACAGCAAACCGATCGGACAAACAGTTTTCAAGTTAAAATTTTCTGAAGATAAGCTTGATATTTTTCTATATGCACTTTTCAAAAACAAGGCTGGAATCAAAATGGCGATATGAAGATGAAAAATGGCAAATTTTCAACCTAATCAAAAAATACAAAAATAAACCGATCTGCGAATTCGTAGGGAATTGCTCGTGAGTGGCCCAACTCAAGCTAAGGAAATTTTTTAACATGTTTTCCAATGTTCGATCGATCATTCTGACAACTTGGCAAAGTGTGTGAAACTAACCTATACACAATCATACACAGCCAACATTTTAAAAATGAAAGATTTGTGTGCTCTTTCCCCACACACACTGTGTAATGCAGCGTATGAATAATGAATATATTTTAGAATATAAGCAGAATTTCAGTACTACAGTAAGGGTCCAATTTTGGTAGCAACAAATGTTTGACATTTTTGCTTTTCTAAATTAAAAAAATACATCCTGATTACCTGATCACATCAAAAGCCGGAAATTAACGATAAATCTTTGCTTCTCCCGCTGAAGATCATAAGTTCAAATTTCATCAACGGACTCGTCACGAATGACAAAAAGTGAGACAAATCAAACTAACAATTAATACCTAATTCAGCAGATCTTAGATCCCCACCCTGATCATCAATTCCCGCAGGCGAACTCTAATCACACTCCACATGGCACCGCCCTGAGAAATCCTTTCTCTCTGCACTGTTCATTTTGTTCCTGTGAACGTTCATGTTTGTCTCATCTAGAATAATTCACTGAATAAAACTTATAAAACTAGGTTGTAATGTGATGTTTTTTTTTTTATGATTTGTTTTCCGTCGATCTTGCTTCTGTACTGAGTAACAATGCTACCAACGCCAGGGAGACAGCTCCCACACCTAGACTCTACCTATCGACCCATCAACTCATGGACCGGGCATCAACGGCTTAACTTCCTTTACTTACTGATAAGAGATTTTATGCCTCAGAAAATCCCGGCGACGCTGACTGAGATTGAACCCAGACCTTTTGGGGTGAGAGGCAATCACGCTTTACCACTACACCACTGGCGCCGCTATGTAATTTGGTTGAAATGCATACGTTTTTCAGAGAACTTATACGTTTTATAATTGTGGAAATTCAATGCAGGAGTACAGTGGATTTGTCCCTGATATGTGGATTATTCTTCGTCTCCTGTTACTCAATAGGCTTTGTCGACCTTATTTCATGTATTACTCCATTTAGTAACCATAAAATTGATAACCCAGCACATGACAAGTAATTAAAACATGTACTACCTCTTACCCCATATTCAGGGGTAAGTTGAAAAATCGACAAGTTTTCCCATGTTTAATATTTCAACATTTGTTCAAATATTATGGACAGCATTTTTTTTTTGTTTGGCACTGTCATATGAGTTTAATCAAAATAAAAAATCAAATTCAATATACACATGGTCTAGCGAGTTTTGAAAGTAACAGTGGATTTTTCTGGACCCAATAAATTCTCAACTAATATTTTTTTTTTTTATTAGTTTAATCTTCTGAACCGAACTTAAAGATGACCCAGTGACCGTTATTATTAGCAAAACACCATGAAATTTAATGTTTCTCAATCAACAAATATTATAAGACCTTTTTCCCACCATGGTGCTACATTCGGTAGTGCGTATTTTAGTAGTTTTAAAAAGTACTATGGTCCCTGGAAGCGTAGTTATCATTTTATAGATCACCAGCAAAAGGTTATCATGGAAGATTTACAAAATTTACACAAGTATTAGGAATAAATAACAGGTCATATGCACAGTATTCTGTCAAAATTGTTACATACAACTTTGGGCACCCCCATTGAAATAAAGTATCATAATGTAACATGTATGTAATTGTAATATTGTGCAAGTTTTTTTTTTATAAGAAAATGAAACAGAAAATTGGTAGCAAGCCCAAATTTTGCCTGTAGAGTTGCTTCAACTCACTTGCTATAAAAAATGTTTTTCGGAATTATGAAATCATTAGATGATATAATGATAATTAGTACTTGTAAGTAGGCTTGCTTACACTCACTTCACTATTCGCTATTCGCTAACTTACAAATACAAAATTATATCATCTAATGATTTAATTATTCTGAAAAAAAACATTTTTATAGCGAAATGAGAGGAAGCAACCCTGCTTGTAAAAAACAGGAAGAATTTTTCATGTATGTTTTTAACAAACACAACTTCTCAATATTGATTTCAGAGCGTCACAATCTGAGTGAACACTCGCGAATCATATAATTGCTGATTGTGCCGCTCTGTCAATTTTTCAACCTCTTCTTGTTACTTACAAGTACAAGATATGATTATTACATCTGATGACTTCATAATTCAGAAGAAAAAAAAACATGTTGTTATATCAAGTGAGTGGAAGCAACCCTAGGAAGAGTTATAGGAGTAGTGTCTGGAAGTTCCAAAATCTCAATTTGTTTATATTTGTCATATTCGACCTATTCAAAAAGCTTTCCATGACGATACTATAAGGCCATGATAAAATTACGTGCTATTTTGAGCATGGTAGGCATTTATAATGAACTTTTTTTTTAAATTGATGATTGTTGCCCATCATGGTCATAATAGCACGTAATTTTACCATGGTCTTATAATATCGTCATGGAAAGCTTTTTGAATAGATCGTACAAATGTAAACAAATTGTGAAGCATCCAGACACTATTCCTATAACTCTACCTGTCCAAATGTGTGTAAGTGTCGGGATTTCGATGCTTTACGGTACTTCTTAATTATTTATTTATGTAAGGTTTTTTTTTAATAGAAACATGGCTGGTTTATAAGTAACAAATCACGCTCACCGAAATCTCATCATGCATCTTAGCTTTCTAAAAAAAATCCACTTTAATTTTCCTAAGAACTAAGTCGACCAACTCATCGGATTCACCTAAATTTGACTTGTTAGTTATTTTTTTTTTATTCATGAAGAAAAATCTGCATTATTTAGAAATTTGAACAAAACATATCGGGGTGCATTTTCGAATGTAATATGATAGCTTTCAGGGTGATTTTTGGCTTTCGAAGTCTTGAATAAGCAGCTTAACCGAAATCTGGCGTCTTCTATCCGACGTTTCTGTGAAATATACAGTCAACTCTCCATATCTCGATGATATATATCTGGATATGTGACCACTGTTTCCTTCATGTCGATGATTATCTCAGTTCATTCCGATGGTCTAGTAAGCTTTTCTTATTTTTATCTCGATCTCTCCATATCTCGATCTTTCCATGGACCTTTCCATATCGAGAGACGGAAAGTTGACTGTATTGGTGAAACGGCGGATAAATAACGCAAACCTTTGTTTTATATGCTTACTAAAGACTGTCGAAAGCCAATGTCCATGCTCAAAGTTACAAAACAATATACATCATGAAGTTTCCGTTGTAGCATTCAAAGCTTTTGAATGTGAATTTGATAAAGTATGGCAAGCATCTAGAAATCCATGGCTAACATCAGCATAATCTTAAACATAAGTTTTATTTAAATAGTTTATAATAGATATAGATCATAGACATGGAAACTCATTTTATTCATCTGTGCATACATACATCAAAAAATTTAAATGGTTATCTACAATACCAAATAAAAAGATAATAATTGTGTTCTATCTTTGCATTATTCTCTTCTACAGGCAATTTTATTTTATACGCCGCGATGGCTGTGGAAATCTTGGGAAGGAGGAAAAATACATGCATTGATGATGGACCTTGACATAGGCATTTGTTCCGAAATAGAAAAGAAGCAGAAGAAAAAATTGCTTCTTGATTATTTGTGGGACAACTTAAGGTAGTAGTCATAATCTATTTGAACAGCATTGATTATAACATTTTCTTTTAAGGTATCATAACTGGTGGGCGTATAGGTACTATATATGTGAATTTTTATCACTAGTAAATGTGATAGGTGAGATCTAATGTTTTCAATATGAAATAATCTGATAACATATATGTACGTGTTGACTTAATTATCATTATAGGCCAAATGTTTCTAATGAACCGGTTTTTTGACGGTGAATTTATGACGTTTGGATTAGACGTAATAACGCACATGGAAGCAGATCAAGAAGATCGCATGGATCCGATGATCTACATATTCCCCAGAATGACCAAATGTACTTTCTATAAGTATGGTGTCAGCGGTGAAGTAAGCACTTACGCAAATTCAACGATGAGATCGAGTCATTCTACGTTTATTTATTTTCAGGTCGAGCGACATGATGCCATATGTATTCTTCCACTGAACGTAGTCAATGAGAAAATTTATATTTTTTTGTGGTTTTGGTTTATTATTCTGACGATACTGACAACGTTAACGGTATTTTATAGAATAATTATTATTTTCTCGCCTCGAATGCGAGTGTATTTATTAAGACTAAGGTTTAGGTAAGTAACTTTTACATTACTAAAGGTAGAATAGTATTTTGTACACTGCACATGAGAAAAAAAAAATAACTTTTACGACTTTTGGATACATGATAATAACTAAAATAAGGGACGGGCTAGCATAGGGGTTGAGGAAAAGATGTCCAGAAATAATACGATGTCGTCAAATATATCGACTCGCCCTTCATCGCCAATGGTGATTATATTTGGAGGTTGCACCGTAAATATTCTTGAAAAAAAATCCAATTTTTATTGTCATCTTTGAGAACCAAAGTTATTGAATATAATTTCTATCAATTAAATGTAGTTCATTCAATTAATTGAGATTTATTGCAAGAAGGCTCACAAAATGTCATATACCAATCGATGCAGCTCGATGAGTTAAAATGTACAAAGAAAGTTAAAACGAGACAACGTACAGACAAAAAAAGGTACTTGGATGGATTAATGTACGTAAAATTCATAAAACCTACCACTACAAATGCTCTCATCATCATTCACTGTCATTCAATGATTTTACTTTGCCAATCATCTGGATGACCCCAGAAATTAATAAAGAAATGCGTGCGCATGTTTTTTATTTTTTTTCGTTGGGTTGAATTATACCAGAAATTGGACACTAGAGTGATGCCAAATTTGAGATTTTTGCTCCACAGTTCTAAATATGTGATGATCCTCCCAAAATTTGAGCTCATTCAGTCTAAAAACTAACTGAGCACAAACCATTTGAAGTTAATATGAACATTACTAAAGAATAGCAAATTTTTTGTTCACATCAGTCTAACGATTTGCTACATTGCTCTTCACAGCTAAAACTTTACTGGCTATAATCGCATATCAGTCCTTTATAGATATTCGTCCATTTTGATATAACAACGCTACCCGAATATCAAAATACTATCAAAATGATATCTAATTTTGATTTTGAAATCATGATGACAACATATTTTGATATGCATTTTTTAAATTTCGGTTGAATTCATATTTTTATATTGTTTTAATATTTCTAAAAATATCATTTAAAACAAAATTTGATATTTTATAAAAAAAAAACGCATCCACACTTATGACTAAAATCTACATTTTTATTTTTACTTCTTAGGAGTCAATCAGGTTTCTTTATGAACATCACAAATACAATAATGATCCTAACAGTATTGTTTTACAACATTTATTGATGTTAATCTGTAATGCCTTTGAATTGAATTTACAAATAGATATATATTTGATTGCGTCCAGTTCGTCTGTAATACTTATACTAATACATTGTCGAATATTGCAATTTAACTTTCGTAGACTTAGTTTCTTAGCTCATATTTAAATATGTTGTCATAAATTTTATTAATTATCAGTTCTCTCCCAATAAAATAAATGTCGTCATTGTCTGTTAAAATATGTTCGATGCGAAGGAATTTTTCATTCATAATAATATAAGAGTCATCGTAGACTAATTTTTTACACAATTCGTGTGTCGTATTCCTATATTGAATATAATTCCACTAGAATTTGTCATGAAAACGAAACTCTAAACTTAAAAACTTCACATCATCTATTTCTATGCTATTGAATCTAATGAACTTCAATCGTTCGTCATATTTTAACTTTTGTTATATGTCTATAATAACAAAAGTGATTCATTATATACTTTCTTGTAATGTGTACCACTGGATGATTATTTCCAGTTCTGTACTTTAATATAGCCCCATTCGCACTTTATTGACAACATTATTTGATTTTGAATCTTGATATCAACCAAAAGATCTCAAAACATTCAGATTACTAAATTTGATGTCATAATATCAAAATAATCACTAATTTAGTTTTTTATTTATTTTTTTTTTTTTGTTTTCCTACCATAGTTATAATAACATATTGATTACTTATTTTGTTTATTATTAACGAAATTACTAATATCAAAACGCATACATGGATTTGTTATCAAGAAAACATAATTTGTTATCTTTTTAATATCCTTCATATACCTTTACCATATAACTTTAGAGTGTCTCCACTGCTGGTAGGGTTTTAAAGTTGGTACGGTTTTCAGTGTTGACATCCAACGATTTGGTATTGTTGACGTTGATGGTGAGACCCACCACAGAGGAGTGTTTGACATTGTCACTGAATTTCCTTTGCATATCAGAGAAACGTTGTGCTAATATAGCAACATAATCAGCCAAATTGCAACATAATCAGCCAAAAGAGGTCCTCCACAATGATAGGCTGCCAAAGTCTTTCGGTACACGGTCAATTGCACATACGATGATCTCGTCGTTTTTGGGGCCTCATATTGGCTAAACGGTTAAGGCACGGTATATAAGGATAAAAAATAAATAAATAAACATTAATTCTTGCAAAGTTCAAAACGCTTAGCACTCCCACGCAAACTAACAACACCACCTTGTTAAGGAAACATTACCCTTTCTGACGGTGGTGTTAGTTTGCATGGGAATGCTAAGAGTTTGGACAAATTGACGTTTGAATCTTTTTTTCAGAAGCAGATACGTACTTTTGAAAAAGTAATCGAGAATTCATCACGCCCACGCATACTAACTACACGATAACCAATCGCCGCCTTATCAGATTATCATTATTATTATTATTATTATTATTATTATTATTATTATTATTATTATTATTATTATTATTATTATTATTATTATTATTATTATTATTATTATTATTATTATTATTATTATTATTATTATTATTTATTATTATTATTATTATTATTGTTATTATTTTTATTATTATTATTATTATTATTATTATCATTATTATTATTATTATTATTATTATTATTATTATTATTATTATTATTATTATTCATTCATTCGAGTTCGGGACATTGTTGCTATCAGTAGCAAACGTGCGCGCGCTCGGGATATCGTTGTATTTGGTGGTTTTTCGCGGTTTTTTCGTTCTGAAAACGCTACCAGCAACAAGTGACTAGTGATAACTAGTGTCTAACACTAAAGTCCGATCATAATCGGCGAAGATTTTAGTGAAATAAGTGCGACTAAAGTGCCTCTGCCAGCAGCAAAAGTGACAACAACGGTGCGCCATCGCATCGTTCTACCGGTGTGTAGTGTGGCCCATTGTGGTTTCGCTGCTGAGTGACCCGACTAGCAAGAGGTGTTCAAGTGCGAACAAACCGATTTTTTTCGGTTTTTGGTGAAAAGTTTTTTCACAGAATCGGAAGGTCGGAAAATTTATTTTTTGACCTTGTGTGTTGTGGTATAGCCGTTGAAGGGGATAATAAGGTAGGAAAAACCCTTCTTTTTCTATTTTTATTATCTTTGGGGTAGGCAACGGGTGACCGTTGTCTTTTTTCATTGATTTTTTCCAACGTGCAACTGGTTGCGGTAGTAGTGGTAGATTAAAGGAGTGTGGCCATGACGGCCGCAAGTAGCGGTGACCCTGGCGGGTCTGGGAGAAGACTGCCAACGTTCATGGATCCTACGAACAAGTTCGGAGAATTAACGTATCTGCAACTGATCGGAAAAGACAATGCGCCACTGCCGAAAAATCCTTTTTTAATCGGCAAATCAGTTGAAAAAGTCGCAGGTGGTCCTATCGAAGGTGCGTCAACTGAAGCGCAAGGTACCAGGTACACCTTAAAAGTTCGTAACCCTTCCCAGGTTGAAAAATTGTTGAAAATGACAGCATTGATCGATAACACTGAGGTTTTGGTCCAGCCACATCCAAACCTGAACGTTAGTCGCTGCGTCATTTCCTGTTTCGAGTTGATTGACATGGAGGAAAAAGATGTACTGCTGGAACTTATCAGGCAGGGGGTGATTCGTGTTCAACGAATTACTCGTAATGATAACGGTAGCCGCGTCAACACGTCCACTTTAATTCTTACTGTTGCTAAATGTAATTATCCCGACAATTTTAAGATTGGTCTCTTGAGTGTTGCTACCCGTCCTTATTACCCAAACCCGCTGCTATGTTATGGTTGTTTCCGTTATGGTCATCCGCGTGTCCGCTGTCCTGGTCCACAACGTTGCCTGCATTGTTCTGCCGAGCGCCATGTTGAGGAAAATGAGGAATGTGGAGAAGCTGCCCACTGCATTAACTGTGGAGGACCGCATCGTTCGAATAATCGCCAGTGCCCCGTTTACAAGAAGGAGACGGATGTTATCCGTATCAAGGTCGATCGCAATCTCACGTACCCGGAAGCACGCAAGCAGGTTGAAGCAGGAGTGAGAAGCTACGCAGCAGCAGCAGCCCAGCCAAGTGTCGATCGTCAAAAGCTCGAACAACTCGAGAGAGAGATGAAGAAGAAAGATGCCCAGATTGCTAATCTGTTGGAAGCAATGAAGCGAAAGGACGAGAAGATCGACAAGCTGATTTCCCATATCAAAAACATGTGCCATGCGGAAAACCAACCAGCTCAACAACCACAACAGCAGCAGCAACAACAGCAGCAACAACAGCAGCAACAACAACAGCTACAACAACAGCAACAACAGCAACAGCAAGTCAGAGAGTCGCGAACAGCGGGACCATCCATGCATCTAAGGACCCGCTCACCTGCAGTTGTAGAACCAAAACAAAGTCAACCTGGGAAGAAGAAAAAACGCAACAAGTCGAACAATACATCACCCGGTCGCCAAAGTCCTCCTTTGAAGAAAGTAATCGCCGAACAAAACCCACAGCACGATCCCGAAACTGTAAGTGTCGACGAGGAGTCTGAAATCGATGAAACGCCCCCTAGCCAGCAAAATCGACGACATCAACTCCTCTAATTACACAATGAGCAGCATTAATGACCAAGCAACGAACACGGACAACGATTTGGACCATCGATTTGGAAGCAGGGAATGTGTAGTACCTCTTCCACTCTCACAAGCGAGAGCGCAGCAGGTGGAAGGATCTGTCCGGGACGTCTTACCCCAACCCGTTGATAGAGATTCCCCCTCTGCGATCGATGTTAATGTAACGGATTTTTCGAACACCTACCTACCTACCAACCAACCACAACCACACGTATGCACTTCGCCATCACCCCAACGTCACGAAGCTTTTTCCATTTCGGAAACAGCAACAGCGCTAACTAGCAATCACAACAGTGTTTGCAACAACACTCCTAGTAGCCGGTTTGGGTCTGCTCCGGGGGAAAGAACGCCCATGCAGTTTTCCTCTCGACATACCACCGGTGAAGTTCGTTCCTTCCATACAATCGATCCTAGTAACCGGCATTC